CTGTAGCTTTAATAGCAGGTGTGGGCGGCCCCAGACTATCCCTACAGGGCCCAGGACAGAAAAAAGGTGACTTGAGCCCAATTATCAAGAGGCACCCCGGATACATGGGACACAAGGTGGGCAGGCATAAGGATAGCCGCACCCATCATAGAAGGGCAGTCGAGAGCACCTGGACCCCGATCGCTGGGGGGCCAAACCCCAAAAGGGGCCCAGTCGCCAAGGGGCCTGACCCCAGAAGCCATAGTGCCGAGGTCCAACAGGGCCATGGTATTGAGCCAATGGGCTCCGCCAGCGGCCGGTAACATCCAAGGTGGATCCAGATGACAGCTCCGAGGTCCAGGGGTGCATATATCCCCAAAGTGGGGACCCTGCAGGGCCAGGAGGACCAGGCCCAGCAGCCACCCGGAATGAGACAGCTTCCACTGAAATACCCAGCCCTGCACCTAGAGAACCATCAGCACGCCAGCAGACACAGGAACCTGGCACTGACGGGGAGCATAAAAAAAGGGGGAGGAGGCAGGCTCTGCTCATACTCTGAGCTAGGATGTTAAGCGGGCGCGGTGGGGGAGGCAAACATCCAACCAGACAAGTAGACAGAAGCACCTTAACATTCATCCAGTTACATTCAAATAATCTGACCCTTACACCCATACGGACATATATAAGCACACGCACACAGAGGCAGACACAATACATATTCTATAGTCTTCATAAATACACTACCCTTCTGGGTCTGAGGAACAATCTCTCTTGGATGAACAGAACCACAGATGAAGAACAAACAAACAAAATAATAATTAAAAATAAAACAAAATGTAATGACCTTTATTTCACTGCATTTTACTTTTCCTATTGTGTTTTTTCATGTCTCGTTTTTGCTGCTATAACTTGGTATATTAATAATTTTCCCTTGCCCAAAGAAAGAGCTGACCTAAAAAGGAAAGTTCTTGATTTTCCAGTCTGTCTACATCCAGGTCTCAGTTGTGGTCAAGAGATATGAAACATAATCAGAAGGATGAGACCCTGGATACAAGTGATGAAATGTGCTTCCACTGTAGAGACTGGGCTCAGACACAGGCTGAGGAGATAAAAAAAAAAATAAATTCTACATGTTTATAAGCAAGACCTATCTAAAACTTAGGAATCTATATTTTATAATCTCACATATTTGTTTAAAACCTTAGTAGGGTTATCTTGAGACACTTATAAGAGGCTGTTGATGGGATCTGGTCCTAACTGAGTCTTTGACATCTGTATTCCTGCCAAAGAAACATTCTAAATAGCAGAGAAATTGTCCTTAAAAAAGCAGATGATGGCTGTGATACTTGGTGCTGCTCTGCATTATAACTCATTCCAGGCGAGGAGTCGAGTGAGAGTAGGTCAGTGGTGATTGGGAGATGATTTACGAAGAAGTGGATTTATACAGCAGCAGTAAGTGCCTGTAACAGGACTTACACTCACAAAATATGAACATTGGACTGTAACAGTATGATATTCCTTTTTCTTTTATTAGTCTAAAAATCTTAACTTTATCTTGCTAAACTTAACTTAAATTATAAGCTGTTTAGATGTGCCTGAAGCCAGGATGTTGCTTTGAGAAATCTAAGAGGACTTCTATTGGCTTTTTGTCATCAAGATTTGTGAATTCTAAGTCTAGTTGTATAGTCAGCAGCTTTTTAAAGGTGAGGTGATGATTTTTGCCCTGTATAAAGAAGATCATTCATTAATATCTTTATATAAGATATTAATAAGAAATTAATTTCCATTCAAGGGCATTAAAGTATATTTTCATTTGACATGAACCTGAGTATTAAGTTGATCAAAGACACTCGTCAGCCTGTAGTAGAGCATCATTTATCCAACGTTTTCATTTCTGTCACACGTTAACATCCATAAGTGAAAACATGCATCAGGTTCATGTGTTTGAGATATTGAAAGGTGAATTCAAAATTCCTTTTTTTCCTCAAAAGTTTTGGTTGATTAAACTTTTTTTAATATTCCCCCTGCAATTTTTTACAGTAATTAAAATGTATTTAAATACACATTAAAATGAATGCAACACACTGTACAGCACACATTCAGTGACACACAGGAACTTTTTCAAGCTGGGCACCGTTTTATTCACAACACCTGTCCCATCAACCAGGAATCAGAAATACTCCCCGGGAGAAATTACTTTCATTACATTATTCCATCTGTAATAGAGTGACTATAAGACCAGTTTGATATAACACTATTTTATACAATATATATAATTAGGGGCTACATCCCTGCTTCATCTCGCCATCGGTTTTGGGGGTCCTTGGCCTGGAAAACTTTGAAGACCCCTGATTTAAAGGAACTAGGTGCAGGAATTCTGAAAGACATGCTTGTCCAGTTTATTAATGCTATTTGGCGATGAGGTATTAAAAACCAAAACCAATGAGCCAACAATGCGCTGCATAATATTCTGCAATTTGGGGGCCAAATTTTCTACCAGTCCTACGGATGTAACATCAGTTGATGCTACATGTCGGCCCCCAACAGTTTTGACACAGGAAGCCACGGTTGTTTCCATAGTTCTATTAGTACAAGACCAATCAGTTGTTTCAAAGACTTACATGGATAGTAGTGGACCTTTCAGCAGTCAGCAAATGACCGACATCAACTCAAAACCCACTAAAAAAGTGATATAGATAATGGCATTACCAATGCAGCGCAGAGACTACTGCTTGTCTGTGAGGCGTTTCTGCTGTACCGGCTCTGCTGGTGGATGCAGGTACACACAGCACCAGTCGTGTCACATGTGCGTCTCATTACTTCATCCTTTCTCTAGTTTCTTTAAGCAGTTAAGTAGACAATTAGTAGATGGAATAATATTAGATATTAAAAAATAAGAACAAACTAATCGATTAGCTAATCGATTAGCTAATTGTAAGTGCAAAATTACCTGAATATCTAATGTTAAAGGCAAAACTACCTATTTATTTGGTAGACCATCCAACTGCTCAAATTTGAGGAAATATAGAAAAGTTTAAGAAAGTTTAAGAAAAGTTTACTTATTTTTAGATACATTTTTGCAGTGTAAAGCACATACCTCTTTACAAGAAGACTCCATCTTCTTGACAAAGAAAAAAAAAAAAAACACATACTGACCCATACTTTCTTGCATTGTCTACTGATGGGTGTCAGAGGGACTGGTGTTGCCAGTGTACAGCAGCCATGCTTCTGCCGGTGGGCCCCAAGGCAGCTGTGGCTGCATTGTAGCTTACCACCATGAGTGTGTGCGTAAATGGGTTAATGAATAAATGTAGTGTAAAGTTTTTCCTTCCCATCCAGGAAGATTTTTCAATTCAACATGAATTGAAAATTCAATTTGAATTGAAAAATGTTCCTGGATGGGAAGTGAAACCTCTTCAAACTTGGAAACAAAGTCAGTTGGATTGTTTTTAATTTTCTTTTTTGGAATGTAAATGTACAAAGCTTGTGTGTACAGAAGTACCTACAGCATCAACCATGCTGCAGCAGTCCTGTGAGGAGCTCTGGGCCTACACAACTCTTGTTTTGCCTCTGATTAACTTTTTCCTGTGATGCCTCGTTCTCATTCTACTGTATGTGTCTCTGTGATTGGCTAATAACCATAGAGTTGTGGATGAAATGTTGTGAAGTGTATGGCTAGACGTCAGTATGGTGATGAGTTTTGTTCTTGCTCTAACTCCTGCATGCTTGTTTTGCCTGTACTAGTGTCACTGATGTAGTCTGTTGTAATTTTTAAGCAGAGAAGAGAGAAGTCTCTATGGAAAACAGACACTCACACACACACACCAGTTTGTATTTCTATCCATATTGAGACTCTACATTGACTTGCATTTATTTTAGTAACTGCATTTAAGCCTAACACTAACCTTAATATCAGTATTTTCCAAACCCTAACCTTAACATAAAGTTTATTCACACCCGAACCCTAAGAAATAGGGATCTGCCACATTAGGACCAGCCTATGATCCCCATAAGGCCTGTTGGTCCTCAGACGGTCAGCAAATATACCAAAAATAGCTTTAAATAGGTAACATTTAGAAGTACAGGAAGAATTTTAACAGGAAGAATTAATTGACCCTCTCCTCCTGGATGAGCATGTAGAGACATTTTGCTGTGCTTGTGCATCAAAAATTATGCTAAATTTTTTTTGTTTTAATACAGCAAGTTTGTAAATATTCAGCAACTGTAATTTTACCTAACAATAGCAACATACACTCAATGGCCACTTTATTAGGTAAATTATTTTATTTATCTCCTTAATGCAACTTCTCCTTAATGCAAATATCTAATCAGCCAGTCTCAGGGCAGCAACTCAATGCATTTAGGCATGTAGACGTGGTCAAGACAATCTGCTCCGGTTCAAACTGAACATCAGAATGGGGAAGAAAAGTGATTTAAGTGACTTTAAGAAATGGTGTGGTTTGTTGGTGTTAGACGGGCTGGTCTGAGTGTTTTAGAAACTCTGATCTACTGGGATTTTCATGCCCGACCATCTCTAGTGTTTACAGCGAATGGTCAGAAAAAGAGAAAATGTCCAGTGAGTGGCAGTTCTGTGGGCCTAAATGCCTTGTTGATCCTAGAAGCCAGACTAGTTCAAGTTGATCAAAAGGCAGCAGTAACTCCAAATGACCACTTGTTACAAAGTAATGTGGCTTATATATAGTCCCAAATTGTTTTATGGACAGTAGAAAAGGGGGAAAATATTAAATTTATTTATCTCTTTCTTTCTTTCTTTCTTTCTTTCTTTTATTGCTACTATAAAGTTTCTGCTTCATAAGGTGGTTCCAATGCTAGCTGTATTTCTTCAAAGTACATCAGACCCTCACCAACCCAAGCCAATACTGACTGATAAACGACAGATCAACTAAAATATTTAGTTTTTCAATGATACATGCTTTCATTTTCCATTTATTTATGATCTTTTACTTTTTCGACTCGCTGTCTCAAGCTTATCATCATGTCTCTGTTTTCTGTCTGTCCAGCGTCTGCTCCTAAACTGAGACCAATGCAAGGACAGTCTCTGATGGAAGGAGAGAAGATGTACTTGAAGTGTGAGGCGTCGGGAACCCCCAGCCCTTCCTTCCGCTGGTACAAAGATGGACATGAGCTGCAGAAAGGCAGAGACCTCAAAATAAAAACCAACAAGTGAGTATTTGAGTTAGTTAAAAGAGAGGATAAGGTTCAGTCGAACTGACTCGAATGAAGAGACACCTGACAAGTTTATTGTAGATCAGTCACTCTGGGTAAAACAGAACTTTGCTTTGCTAAAACAGAACTAAAACAGGTTTATAGAGGTCTTCAAGTGAGGCTTGTATACAAAGGAGATTATAAGGAAAGATATTGGATGATTTTGCAATATTTAGTGTAAAATATGTAGAGCAATTCATTGGCCAGCCAAAATGTTTTAGCTGATGTCAGCAGGAATTTTCTTTTATCCGCCCAGGCTGATATTTGTTTGAGTTTATTACTGCATCCATCAGCCATGATTTGGATAAACTGAAGAGCCTGCCTTGCCGCTACCTCCATTTGCTATCCACCTTTTTTTTTTATTTTATTTTTTTTATAAATGTTTCTTTTTTTTTAATTCAAGACTTGCATACAATTTGTTATCATTGTATTATTTTTTTTAAATAGTGAGATGACTAAAAATAATATTAGCTTCAAAAATCAGACCCCCCAAAAACAGGCAGCACGTATCTGGGATCGTTTAAACTTGTGTCAAAATCATAGGTACCTGTATCAGACTAAATAGAACCTGTATGGTTGATCTTTAGGAGTAGAGAAAGTAAGTATAAATAAAAGAATAATGGTTGTAATGGAACCACAGCTTGCTGTTCTCAGTAATCCACCTGCTGGTCTTAGCAGTGCAGTATGGCTAGGTATTGAAAGAAGTTAGAATAGTCTGCAACAGGATGCAGACCCAGAGATGTTTCTTATACATTAATATCCAATTCTACTGAGGGAGACGTTTAGTTTTTACCTTTCTGGAGATCAAACTTATCTGATTCTTGCCATGTGATCATCATTCAGGCATAAAATATACCCTTTTTTCTTTTACAGGGTACACTGTAAAAGAAAAGTGTGACTTTAACTCCAACAGAGTTGAATATAACTCTATCTCAAATAACATTTGGTCCCTCTCCAAATTAGAGTAAAATTTACTCTAAAGTAGTAAGTAAGTAGTAAGTCTCAACTTTTCCTTGTCAAATTTGCTAATTTTAGTGTCAAAATCAGGAAGACTAAGAAACTGGCAGGTAATCGACACTATATAGAGTAAGAGTTACACTGCATGGCTGTCAAACTTGAGCATATTTACACTCAGTATAGTTGTAAATACTCTATATAGAGTAAAATAGATTGACAGAATTTTTACCACCCAATTTTTTTACTGCTCTGGGATGACAATTTTACTTTTGTGTATGATTCAGATCCAGTCCAGGGTTTTTTGACCTTTTTTTAACTATGATTCAGATCCATGTGAATGCAGAGTTAGCAACATTAGCAGTTAGGCATGGTTTGTTAACCATCGTCACCTGGTTACACAAAGCAGCTACACTGTTTTACAGCCAGCAGTTTTTTTTCTCTGACTCTAGAAATTACCCCATAGAAAGCTGGGCTAGCATCCAGTTAACGCAAACACAGGAAGAAGACCAAATTTTACGCGGTGACTGTGCTCTTTTGGGCTTTTCTAATTTTTTCTTTTCTTTTCATAGTTAAACTTAGAGCCCACATTAAAAAAGCAAACCTTGCATATTTTAACTGAAGCCAGAATTCTTCTATTAACAAACAGGGTTGAAATGTTGTGCTAGAGTTGATAGTGCAGAATGGTATTGTCCGGTTGTTCAACACTCCTTTGAAATATTTAAAAAGCTTGAACACATGTCAGTATTGCCAGTTGCTTTAGCTAGAAAAAAAAAACAATTTAACATGAATAACCGAGATTGTCCTTCTGTCTGTCTTTGTCCCTTTCTTTCTCTTTCACTCAAGAAAAAATTCAAAGGTGCAGATCAGTCGTGTTCGTGTAGAAGACTCGGGGAACTACACCTGTGTGGCTGAAAACTCGTTAGGACAAGAAAACGTCACAAGTATAATCACCGTGCAGATCAGTAAGCATCAGATTGGTTTTTAGATATGTTTGACATCTGTCTGAGTTGTTTAACAGGATTAATTAGTTCCAACTATTTGCTTTTGCAGCTCGACGGCATAGGTAGGGACTAATTACCTAGTTAGGTTAACAGGTTTTAGATGTAACTGGGTAGGTTCTTACATTCAGGACCTGAACTGTCCACCTGTGGACCAGGTTGAGTCATAACTGCATTTTAAAACTAAAAAAGTAAAACTAACAGCCTTCAATGGAGAAATCATATTGTAATGAAAACTGCTGCAATGATTAAATCTTAATGAATAATTTCAAATACTGTATGTAAGCCAACTTTTTATAGTGACTGTTGGGATAAAAGGCATGGAGTTTGACTGCTCCATGCCTTTTACTAATAGCAGTGGCCCAAGCTTTGTCTGATATGACTACAAAAAATACCATCCAGAAAGATTTGCACTTTTCCAGGTTGACACAGATTTGAATCAAGTTGGTCAGCACCCATTGTTGATGATATATGGATTGAGCTTTCAGCTGTGAAAGTGGTTTTATCACAGTTGATGGTACTGTAGTCTGGAGTAGGGTTGAGCGTAGTTTGAATTTGTATGATTCCAGTTCTGATTCCAATTCTTTATTTCGGTTTCAATTCCTTTAGATTCTCAAATTTGATCATTTTAATGGTCAGGGCCAATACATTTTTTATGTTTTAAATGAGCTGTCTAACCAGTTCCAGCTCGATGACTTAGTCTGATCTTCTCAATTTATTATTCCTTAAATATTTCACTCTGTGTAAACATTACTATAGATGAACACATGGATATTTTCAACCAGTAAATAAATATAAAACCTATGAACTCTGATATAGATCAAATAATTTATTTTTCGCAGGGGTACATTTTCCCACAGAGCTTTGTTCTTAAAAGAAAAATCATTAAAACTCAATTGAAAACATCCAGTGTCTGATGCTGCAGGTACTTACCACTTGTAATTCAATATTATTATTTATTTGACTGGATTCTGGCTGCAGCGCTGTGCGAGGCCGAATATCAGACTTGCAGGAAAAATCAGTTTTTTGTTCTAAGGAAGTAATCCCTTCAAAGTTTATAACCTCAGGGTTGTTCATTGCACCTCAATTCCACTCAGCTAGACGTGAAAGTAGTGATGTTTTACTTTTGTTGACGGAGGAACAATAGGATTTTATTTTTGGTCTCTAAACAAACGTTGCTTCGACCAGTTTTTGCGACTCCTCAGCAAAAATAGGTTGCTACTGGCCGTCCTAAAAGGCGCAAGACAACTCCATTGCCTAATTTGCATATATGCAAATAAGGTGATGAACTGAAATATATTTCATGCAGGAGGAAATCCCTCTTATTGCCTTTTCTTTGGATGTCTGTCAAAGGACTGCAGAGAGATGTCAGGATAGCAGGAAGGGAAAACCTGGGGATTTTAAGAGCAATAGCTTTTATCTGAGACAGCTGTGTCAGTTAGATTATTTTCATGATCCCATTTTGCAATATCGTGGGATTAGCAGCAGTTTTTCACATGTGCATTTCATTTGCAATCTGGATTCAGAGTGGAAAGGTTCTCTCTCTCTGCTGCAGCATTCAGACAGTCTGCCTACATGACGACAGCAGACAATGAGAGAGGGAGAGAGAGCAGGAGGCGAGCTTACAGATCCACTCGCTCAGGAGGAAAGAGTTCGGTGCTTTTATGTGTTGTCGCCAAAGTGTCAATTAACACTCTAAAATGAGCGACAAAAGCGCAAAGTTGGTAACACTGGCTCCAAATGATCAGATTCTTTCTGCTTTTTAAATTTCCCTCTGTTTTTTTGTAGATGTTACATTATGCAATTATCAATATGTAAATAAGTAAAAAGACAGTTTTGAGAAAGTAAGGACTAAAAAACTGATTTATTTTTTGTAAAATAAAGGAAGTCCTTAAAAGAAAGAATAAAGTACAGGTACATAAATAATCTTTTTTTAAAGTACAGTGAATAAGTATTATTTATATTTGACCCCTTTTAACTGAGGGACATTTTCAGCTCAGTTGTCTCAAGTTATCCTTATGATCTACTTTGAGAAGTGCACCAGTCCCTCATGCAGCAAAGCAGGCCCATAACATGATGCTGCCAACCCCATGCTTCACAGTTTGGATGGTGTTCGCAGGCTTAGAAATTTCCCTGTCTTCCTCTAGATATAACAGTAGTCAATATGGCTCAATACTTTATAGTTTTAATTTCATCAAACTAACGGACAAAGTGAGTATATTTAAAAGAACAGTGTGAATAGCAATCAGTGGTTGATGGACATTCTCTTTGTATTCTGTATAACAACTTTATATATACAACTATATATCTATAGATATAGATATATAGGGTATTTCATACCCTTTATAAAGAAACAGCCTTATGTTGCTGACATTTAATAAAACTGCAGCATTTCTGTTTTAGGTTATTCAACAGATTTGCAGCCTCTAGTAGGGTGTGTTAGTACTAAACATAATCTCCCTTGTCTCTACTTCCTGTCAATCATCAGTGACCACCACAACCCCATCTCCAGGTGTCAGTCATGCGAGGCGCTGCAACGATTCAGAGAAGGCTTACTGCGCTAACGGAGGAGACTGTTACTTTATACATGGTATTAACCAGCTGTCCTGCAAGTAAGTTTGTCTTCCAGTCAGTCTCCATCCCTCCAGCTCTCCACCCAGGCTCTCTCCCTCTCCTTCTTTGTCTTTCATTTGTCCGTGATTTCTGTGTTGTTGGTCACTGCACCACCCTGTGCTCTGTTTCGTGTATTAAACTCCCTGCACATCCATACCTGCAACCCGACTATCGGTGCCTCTGTGTTTTAGGCTTATTTTTCACATGGTACCATCTCTTATAGAAGCTTAGAGCAGGTGGCTGCCACAGATCTTCTCCCGCAGTTAATCTCCATACTCATTCACAGGTCCTCATTCTCTGCTGTAGTGATGTGTGCACATTTATGTGTGAGTTCTGCCTGTGAGTGAAAGAGGGAGCATGGAAAGGTGTAAATGCAGCCCTGCAGAAAATCTGGAGTACTCTATGAGATTAATTCGCTGTAAAACTGTTGGTATGTTGCTGTATTTACTATTCCTGTTACCTAGCTTTACTTTCCTTTTAGCTTTCAACACACCTGATTAGGACAATGTCTCATACAGCTCTGGTAAATAGTTGAAATCCAATCATCATGTCAAGAATGTTAGATTATTTCTGATACATTTTAAACTTTTTTATCTAAATACTAATAATCACAATAATTTGTCGTCGCAACTCTACAATTTCTTAAAGGTATAGTGTAGGATGTTATTTTTCTGGGTGGATCGTCTGAATAAGTGGTCCTCCTAATTGTCAATCATTCTGGTGATATGCTTACGTAAGGCCGTTCTATGTGCTCGTCCCTATTTTCACCTACTTGTGGTGAGTCTGACATAGTGGAAAAATTGCAAATGTTCTTTTGGAAAGTAGGCTTGTACGATCGATGCAAACAACAACTTTTAAACTGACGTGCACAAGGAGAAACTGACTGGTGCATGCTCTCGCACGTGTGTAATAGGTGTTCCCTCTCGGGAGCGGGTACGGTTTGTGCATCTGCTTTTGTTTGTGGAGAGGGCAGGTCTTTTCAAAACTTCTCAAAAATCCTCCACTATACCTTTAAAGTCGTATGGAACCGGCTGTTCCAATGTTTGCAGTTCAGAATTCTTCCGAGTGGTTCATGACTTTACATGAGTAAATAAAGTGAATGTGATTGGTCCATTATTAAAAGGGCGGTGTGGTGGAAGATTCGCAAGCAAGTTTGGTTGTGGCAGGTTTGTCTAAAGCATCTTGCTAATCAGTTAGCAGCTTAGTGCTAGTAGGTTCCCAATGGGAAATTCCATTGGGACCAAGTAGCACTAAATTGGTGACTTAGAAACGACACTGTCAAGGAACGCTATGGACAGAGGAAACATGCAAGAGGAGAAGAGTTTAGTGTCGAAGGTCGCGGATGAGTCTCCTTTGAATACATTTTTTATTTAGAGAAGGAAATTGGGGACAAAGATGTTGCCGAAGAGGGCACCAGGGTGGCAGAAGCTTCGCTTGGTAATAAAAAATTTAAAAAATGAACAAAGGCTTTAAATGGAATAAAAATGAGTGCGCCTCATCAGGCTAAAGTAGTAAAACAATTTCACAAAGAATTTGAGTCAGTAGATCACATGACCTGGAAGCTATTGAAGAAAAGTCCCAACTTTTGTCTTTAAAAATATGTTAAAAATTTAAATTGGCTTAAAATTGCATAAAAGAAAGTGTTCCTTACATCTGTTATCTATTGGCATGATTTTATATTAGTTTCATCTTAGCTGGTCATGAGATAAGGAATTTATTGATTTTTGTTTCTCAAGAGTGTTTGGTTCAAAGATCTGTTGATGGTCCCTAACCGCACCACCGCGTGCAGGAGGAGGGAGCAGCTGAGAGATGCTGGCCAACATCGGAGTCCCTCAGTCGACTCGGGTCAACTGTTTGCTAGATCCCGCTGACTCCGCGGAGCTTGAATATCTAATATCCAACTTCAAACCAACTTCACAGCGGTCGTTAGCCACCGAGTTAAGAAGACATTGTCGACACCTGTGTCCATGTGTGTGTCCAAACGAAAAATAATAAAGTCAATACTTATAACCTTAGCATTGTTTTCAAAAACAGTTGCTAAATGTCTCAGCTCACTGAGAACTTCTTCGTAGGTAGCCATGTTTGTTGTGACTCTGGCCGGTGGCTGCTAACCAACCAATGGGCAGAAGTTGAGCCTGTACTCATTTGTATAATGAGGCAGAAATGCATACAGAAATGTAAATATGACAGGCAGAAATAAATAGCATGAAAGAAATAAATAAAGTAAAAAAAATACAAATGAAGAATAAACGACGCAAAAATATTATAACATGTGCATAAATAAACAGTGAAAGAAATAAGTAATAAATAAATAAAGTTGAAGATTATAACCGAAAATAAATAAATCCGGTAATTAATACAAAGCCAAAAAAACAAAAAAGCTAATTAAAAGCGATATATACATTCATGTCTAACTGTATTATTTAATTTCTATCTACATCTATTTTTTTATTCTATTTTTGGAGGACAGTTAAAGTATAGTTGTTTATTTTTGGAGCAGTTCTTTATTTCTGTATTTACTTTTATTATGGCAGGATTGGTCCTCTATAGTTACGTATATTAGCTGCGACGTATGAGTCAAGATGCTATGACCGAAAAATTTGATTGACTGATGACCTTTGATATATGATTGGCCGAGACAGGATTTTTTTGAAAATAGAAATCTTCAAACTTTTGGGACAATAAAGATAAAGAGTCTGATAAAGAGTACATTTATATACATGTTTAAGGCAGAATGATTTGAAATTTAAATGACTTCCCTACGACTTTAAAATATGTGTATTCGACTTTAATTTGAGTATGTGCATAAGATGATCTGCAAATGGAAAGAGTATTTTTATATTTACCATTAGATAATTAGATATTATAGACTTGAAATAAAAAACAATGCATTTGTTTTTTCTTATTTGAAATGTTATTTAACTTATTCCATTCCATCTTTGAAGAAAAATTGACTTACTTTGATTAATTCAGGCTTGTGCTCTATTTTTATTTTCTTTACGAAAAGATTTGTTTTGTATCATCTTTCAATTACACAAAATGTTCACATGACGTAGGTAACATTACAGTCAAGTCCCTACAACTCCGCTCTGTTGACAGCAGTGCCATATTGCTTCATATTGAGTGAAGCTATAAAAAGTTAAACAGGACGTCCCACTGTCATGGTGTATTAGCCACTCTCTCTGCTGACGGTCACTCTTTTGGCATGTAACCATGAGCCATTTTGCAAGCCGAGGGCACTGTGCAGCAGAGAGGACAAAACAGATATGACAGATGTCAGATGATGCGCATGTTGGGTCCTTCACATTAAACTACATATCAAAGAGTGTCTTTGAGTCCATATCAGCCTTCAGACTTGGTCGGAGTCTCAGATAAACTAATAACAGCTGTCAAGGTCACTGGGTTACTATCAGTGTAATTCACAGTACTTAAACAGTCACTACAGCTCTGGGAATTTTTACTCATACAATGAGCTCACACTGACGACAGTGCAGCTGCGCTGCAGGTGCCACAAGGAACCCAAACAATTAAACCCATGTGTACGCTCAAATCAGCCACCTATCAGACCACTCTACCAACCTTTTTTCAAAAAAAGACACTGGTGACAAATCGAGCAATTGATTTTTTTTTTTCTGTGTTGGAAACTTTTAGACAAGAACTGATTTGTAATCAGGTAATTGTATCTAATCATTCCCTAGAATACACAATAACATTATGTGTGCAATATCACACTAATCACACTGTACCAATAGTGATTGAGAAAAATATCCATAATGTCCAAATAAATCGCTGAAGACAGACTAGATCATGGACCTGGCTTACTGTAGATGCCATACCGATTTTAGGTATTTCATAAGTGCACATCGCTGCAGAACTTCTTCAGAACTTGTACTTTGGTTCAAACCATGGTTTTTAAGCTTGAATATCCACAGTGGACCAACACCTGTGATGCCGCTTGAGCGTTAGATGTACGGGTGTACAAAAAAAAGTCAGTACAAAGGTTCCCACTTGGGATTTTAGGATGTATTTTAGAAAATGTTTCTAATTAATTAATCAAACTCCTGGCTCTGATTATAATATATACATACATTAATTAATACATTAAATGGATTTATTTGTTATTTGTCAATAAATACATAAAACTCCCTACCAACAAATCACCTTACATCTGTAACCACAGGAATGGCTAATGATTGGCTGAGGATAGCCTTGGGTACCACTGGATCCTCATCTAGCGTGAGTTGGATTTGTGGTTTAATTTCAGCCTCCCTGGGATGAACTGATCAGTCTTATCATGACAGTCTCTCCATCATTTTGGTTATTTATTTCATAAAATCTTTGGATGAGATCACTTAATCTATATTAATTAGAGTGTCATGTGTGTCATGGGCCGTTTTTCAATTCCCTAGAATGCGAGTACGGACTCGTGTCCTCGCCAAGTATATTCTTGAGAAGAAAACAGGAAAGTCTGGACTTGGGGAGAACGGGAGCCAGCTGGGTCAATTGGAAAAGAAGCGGACTGATGACGTCACCACACGTTCAGCTCGTCTAGAGCTGCATTTAACCTGCTGTTATTTATAGTCTCTAGATAATAATACAATTTTACATTTTTCAGTGGGGGAATAATAATTAAAACAGTCAGATAAACACACATCAAATTAACATTTTGCCAAATAAAACAAAAAACATCCCCATCAGAGCCAGCGGTACTTCACACACGGCTATGCCGAGAGAGGGCTGCTATAGACGGGCTGCGGTTAGCTCTGGCTGCCGTTAGCTTTGGAGCTCCGCTGGTTGGTGCGGTCCTTTCAACTGAGGAAATCTTTTTTTTAATTACGCATTAAATCTATGGACCATATAGTGACGCTTTAAACTCTAATACTCTCACCTTAAATTATGTTAAAACATACTTTTATTGAACAACAGCAACAAAAAAGAGAACTTTTAACTTTCAATTGAGCGCTCCAATGAAAGCTGCTGCGGCTGCAGTGCATTTTGG